AGGATCTATCTCGTCGAATGTACGCACCAAAATGTCATCGTCACTGGACGAACCATCGCTGTCGACTTGACGACGTCCGGCACCACCTTTGGGAGCTCGCGCACCGCCTCGGCGACCTAACGAACCCTCGTTACTTGCGTAAATACGTTGCATACGGCTCTCCGAACGTGGCGTAACCATGTGCGAGTCTTGAAAGTACGGTGAAGCTTCGGTAGTGCCAAAGGCACCAAGCTCAGCTCCACGCTTGGTCGGAGGAGTACGAACGAGTCGTTGGGGCGTCGGCGGCAATGGAATCTTGGACGGATCTTCATCTTGAATCATCGGTCGACTCACAGGTTGCTTCCCGGCATTGATGCCAACAGCGCCAAACGCCTTCCGAAGCTTCTTCTTCCATTTCTGGAGAGCAGCTCCGGCTTCATGTGGACTCCAATCCTGGAGCGACATCGTCGATGGGTACGTCTCGCTCTCGAACCCCAGCGACAACAGTAGCGAAACTGAATCCTCGGCAACTTGGCTAGTCGAAATCGAGTTGACTGGGTATTGAAGCTCCTGCGCAAGCGCAGGCCAGTCGGCTTTTTTTCTTGTGAATGGGCTTGAACAGCTGCATCCACTCATCATTCTGCATCAGCGCTTGTACGCGGTCGAAAACGCGCTTGGCGGCTGGTGTATCACCGTTGATAGGTGGGCGAGGTGCCTTCAGCAGTGCTGAATGCTTTGTACTTGCCACCGAAGGTTTAGAACCCTCGGTCCCATCGTCATAATCATCGTAGGCTGGTTCTGGTCCCGCAACATCATCGAGCTCGTCGGCGAGGTTCCTCGAAAGGCACCGGGTCGCCCCGCTCAGCCCCGATGATAGCGTGGCTCTGGAGCCGGCGTCTTGTCTTCGGAATCTTCATAATCGTGTGCGTCAGGACCGATGTCCGCTTCGTCGTCGAAGCTCACTGAAAGCTCGGTGGCGGCTGCAAAGCGCGCAGCCGGGCTTGAACTCTCGTTGCGAGCCCCGCCAGACTTGGCAGGCGTAACTGGTACCGTCGGTTGTCCTTTCGCCATGTTTCTTGTCTTTTTCTTGTTCTTCTTCTCTTGGTAGCTCGTAAACTGGAAGGCCATACAAACAGTTCACAATGGTCACAATCTGTTCCCGGGTCGCGGCACCAGTTGTGGTGTTGGAAATCCCACGTGAACCCTAGCTACAGATGTAGTTAGGATGTTCCCACAACAATACGTCTACTAGGATAGTAAACGATCGTTCGGGCGGACCTGAAGACCCCAGTTCTGCCCTTGCACCGGGACAAACTGGACCTTGTAAACTACTTATATAGGCCAACCAGTAAAATAAGAACACGCTACTAGCACGAGCAAAGCTAGCAGGTGTTTTGAATCCTCTTGGTCCCAACAGCGGAAGGGTACCAGGCACGGGTAAGCCTTTTACGAGATCACCGAGTGTTCAACACTCGGCTGGAAGAAATAAAGGGAGGCAATTCAAGCACTCCCAGTCGTGCAAATAGGCAACAATAAGCCGTCACGTAAAACCTCCCGATAATAATCGGCCAATACACAAAGTCTCTTGGCCTTGCCGAATGAACCCTCGCTACAGAGCTTCGAGTTCACCGACAGGCATAACACACTCAAACAAGCTTGACCTGACGCTTACCTTGAAGCCGGACGTCGCTCTGTGTGCTTGAGTGGAAATTCTGTTCTGTATTTAAGCTTACCCTTTCGAGTCTATTCCTAATAAGAAGTCCTAATCAATTATACAAATATCAAGTGAACAATGATCCGTTATGGATCTTCTTGCATGCCAAGCGTCGTCTGCACCGTCGCATGAGCATCTTTAACGGTCCGCGCCCTGTCCCAGACGGTGAACGTGTCTTCCAAAGGTCGCTGAGTCTTCTGCGAACTCATCCCAACCGCCACTGAGGGTTCGTACCGTAGATGGTCCGCTGAATGCGAATCCGGCCAGTCCATTATTAATAATAAGGACAGCCTGGATTCAGTGACATAGGGCCGTATCCGATACTTGCTGAAAACTCGGAGGTGACGCCGTCGAGTCCCTTGCACCTTGGCGTCTCCGTACATCACCTGACCGAGGGTTCGTCGCTTGAACATCTTGGGCGGTGTCACGTCTTTGTCGACGGGTGATAATCCGCAACTACGGAGAAATCACTACACCACACATGCGGTGACTCAAGCTCGTCGATCTCCATTATCTCTTGTCCTCTTTCAGCATCTTGCTCTGCATGGGATGCTTTGGCGCGACGGGCTGCTGCACGCGTTAGCATCTTATAGCCTATCTCGTGGTTGTATCAAACTTTGGAGACCCTTTGGAGCCAAAGGGTATCCCTTCCATCTAAAGCCGCACGGATTCGGTTTGTAACTACCGCACCCAACTGACCAATGGTGTCATGAGAAATCGAACCTTTGACGGTTGCATGAACTGGTTCTGAGCCGACGGTTGAAGTTCTGCTGTCTCAAGTGGGATGGTGTCCGAACCCCAAAACTATCAGAACCCAGTTCCTGATTCTAGGTGGTTCTGATTATTTATCAGAACCCTGGTTCCGGTTCGGTTCTTTTTTGGCGTGATAACAACTATATCATGCGAATTTGAAACCCCTGAGCTTTAAATATATAATTTAACTATGTTTGTGAGCACTTTGCCAACGAAAAATCGGTCCAGGATGATGTGCGGCGCCGTGTGCGCAGGCCGTGGCAAGAACTATGGAGGACAGGAGACGACAAATCGTATGATGAATTTTTAGAGCGTCTACCAGCTTATGTTCGGGTTAGAAATGATCTACTTCGGTGCACAATGCATCACGTTGAACGCGAAGAGTACTTCCTAGCTGCCAATTATCACGAGATGCGCTGCATCGTCACGAAGTGCGCCTCCCAGCGATGTGCTGCATCTGGTGAAACATGCAAATGTCGATACAAGACTCTAGCATGTGAAGAAGTTGACTTTAAATCTGTACTGGAGCAAGAATTACATGTAATGACTGATGATGCCCCCGACCCTCCCGTATATCCTAAGCTTACGGACGAGATGAAACTTATATTCTGGCTAAGCTGAATAACTCACCGTCAATGGTGCCGCAGCTTTTGTTCGCATATCTGTGCCGAGAGGTGCAGCAGAATCGGGTGCTTGGTCCGACACCGAAGTTAAAGCACGTGCAGAACTTTGTGAAAGGCTGGAGAAGAAAAAACAAGCCTGACAGTATGGCTCCTGTAAAAATAATTTGCCTGTAATGCATGTATGACCGGGAAGATCGTGAGGACAGAGGCCGCGAGGGCCTGCTTGTTTTCTGCGATGTAAAAGACGTGAATGGATTAGTTGAACCAGCGCTTGGCTCTGGTTCTGAGGTAAAGTCCTTTCGTATTGGATTAACATGCATGGAGCTTATAGCGCGCTATGTAGCTGTTCGGCAAAATGCACTCTTATCTACTATGATGCACTTGGACAGTACTCACATCATCGTGAAGCAGAAGTATCCTGTCTTTGTGGTTGGGATATCGGATCGTAGTGGAGCTTTTCTACCCGTAGTTTACTTCTGCACATCACAGCGTCGTAAAGTGGAAATTGCTTGGTGTATTGCGTTCCTAAAACGAGTTGTCTACCGAGAGTTTGGAGTACAGCTTAGTTCTGACTATGTCATGATGGATGCGGACAAAGCCCAATACAACGTATGTGTATCGAAGCTTCCACTTAGCAGAATTCTAATGTGTTGGTTCCATGTCACACAAAATGTGGCAAAGCACCTTCATGACAAAAAGCTAGATCTCGTATCCAAGCAGTTGATTTTTCGGAATCTTTACGAATTGCATGTCGCTGTGACTGAGGAGGACTATCTAAGAAAACGTGATTCTGTAGTAAGTTCTTGGAGGGGTGGTGGTGAGATTTGCCCAAAATTTCGCAGGGTGGTCAATCATATCATTTCATTTTGGATTCTTGGAGGCCGTTTTTCTTGTTGGCAAGCTTTTCATACTCTAACCGGGTACGCAGCAACGAACAAGCCCTTAGAATGCTACCACTACAGGCTGAGCTCGTAAATGACAACAAAAGAGCTAATCCTACGGAACTGGTCACACGCCTTGACTTGTCTCGAATTGCACATGTTGCATCAATGGCTCCGCTTAAATGACGAGCCTAAAATTTCGAAGCGACTTAAAGCGTCCTAAAGAAAGGCGGCGGAGAAGACGAAAACAATGATAGCATCAATTTTTCATCGTTTGGGAGATCTGAACCCCGTCCTTGTACAGATTGCACCGTCAGCAGAAATAACAAGTACAACTCAGTCCAGCATCAACGATACATTAGAAGGAAATTGATCAACTACCCCATCTGAAGTTCTAAATGAAGTCCGCCGCTCTTACGAGGCGGCCAATTACGCTAAGCTAACATGGGTCGGTATGCCTCGAGGAGGCTAAAATGACGAACGTTGAGTGGTCGCATCCTTAAAGAACATGCAAGCCGTTGCAGCACGACGGACACGGAAGCTTTGAGGGCAATGGTGAAGGCTACAAACGGTTGGGTTAATCTGCTCTCGGATGTTTGGCAAACTATCTCCAAGGAACACCTACTGGGCTGTCAACTCTCTCTCTTTGGAATACTGCTTACCTACGCGCTCTTACCAGCTGGGGACGAGCATCATGGCATAGCTATTGCCAAACAACTTGAGCCATTACTGGAGCGAGTCCAACTAGAAGGGTGGTGTGTTGGAGCAATGGCGACGGATAATGCAGGACAGTGTGGACGTGCTCGCCGGATTCTGGCCATTCGGTGGCCGCAGGTTGTTTTCTTGTTTTGTTTTGCGCATGACGTCAACAACCTCGTGAAAGCTGTACTAAAATCGAATTTTAATGGTATTGCATCCAAGGCTGCAACGGCCGTCAACATTTTGAACGCGTCATCTTCGAAGTGGCTACCACGTGCTCAAAAAATCATGAAAAAGTTTTACGGGAAATCTTTGGGGCTACGTACGCTGTGCGAAACAAGGTGGAACTCTATGCAAGGATGCTTGGCATCTTTGCTTCGCGTTCAATCAGCTCTGCAAACGCTGTACCGCCAATACAAAACCAATATTGACTTTCCAAGTCAGCTGCGTGTTTTTGGTGAGTCTCTATTTTGGGAAGAGCTAAAAGAAGCAGAAGCCGTTATCGCGCCAATATCTTACGCATCGTTTCGTCTTCAGCGAGATGAGAATACCCTGGGAGATGTCGTGCAATCATTTCGGGAAATTTATGAGGGTTTCCAGCAACATCTTGTCCGTCGTAACAAACTAGTTGAGTGCGTTGAGCATCGTTGGGCGCAGTGTGAGCAGCCCCTGTTTATGATTGGCTTTGCACTACATCCAGTGTACGCCGAGATCGCCCGAGAGTTACCTGAGACCGCTGTATCGGGAACTGGCACGTTGTGCAAGATTGCTGTTTACTATTTCCGGCGACTGTTTTCTACTGAGGATATTTGCGAGATACGACGTGATATGCTGGCCTGGATGAAAGGTCGCTTTACCCGAACGAAGCCTAGCGAGTTTCCCAATGTACCATGAGAGTACTGGGAGTGCGTTGCGACGGAACGTCCCAAGAGCCAGCTTCCAACACTCGCCATGAGGGTTCTCTCTATTGCAGTAAATACTGCCACATGCGAGCGTCTCTTTAGTGAACTTGGCGTAATTCACACTGCAAAGCGCAATCGTATGGCTCCAACTAAAGTCCTCGATTATCACATCATTGCCAAGCATGTTCGCAATCGGTCTAAAAAGATTGATTCCGGGGATCCAAGGAAAAAGCTTCTTATTTCTCCCATTGAGAGAGAAATTATAATGGATGCTACGAGCAGATCTAACCTGTTTGAACCTTCACCCCATCAACAGGGGTCATCGAATGCAGACCATGACAGTGACGATGACGATCCGGGTGACGGTGCTGATGGACCAGCTACTTTGACGATGTGGGGGGAGTTTCTTGACGAGGTGTTTGAGGATGAAGAAATTGATGCGGGCTACACAGAAAACGAAGCTGGTCCTGAGCTGAGAATGTTAAGAGAACAGCGTGAAGATGATTCGAAGGACGAGAATGAACTGGAAAATATCCCTTCCCCGATCAAGCACGAATTTACTGTCCATAATGACCGAAACTTCCCACAAGAAGCGCTAATACTCTAGGGATTTCGTGGTCGGAAATCAACACTTACGGAGCTATTTGTTTGAAATTACCATAGTACCAGGTACTCAAAGTAATATCCAGCTTGGCCTTCAAGCGTAATAATCCTCCGAAGTGTACAGTCTGAATTCTTCCAATTGGTATTGCTACTGCTCTCGGTCAGACTTTCACGTCGGTGCTGGCCTCTAGAT